GAGGAAACCAAGGGAAACCAGAGAAAGGGGTCTACTCGGCATACTTCTGTCAGTTCTGAATGGGAATTCGTTGGGATTCGTTGGCAGAGACGAAACAGAGGGGCGAAAGAGCACACAGACAAGCAAAGCATCTCAAGGGGAAAATACCTTGCGTTGAGCTGGAGCCAGTCGAGCAATCCAGCGCTTTAACGTTCCCACATATCCACCAATCCTCTGATGCGAAGCTTATACATTCAAGTTCGTTGCGGACGGTTGGGCGTGTCAGGCAGTATGAGTGTGTCACCCCGTCAAAGCCGTTCTCTGCCTTCTTGTTGAAGCGCGCATGCAAAAAAAGTAATACGAACGACACAATACAGCCACATCTTTTGCTCGCTTCAACAACTGGCGACCGACACGCCCAACCGTCCGCAGCGAACTATACACTATACAAGGCTGTGACTACGGTCCTCGTCACCTTTCTCCACACAAGGTTTTCATCCGTCTCAATAATCACGGAATGTAAATTCGAGCTTAACGAGTTGACGAGTTTTCTCATATTCAGGTTGCGCCTTCATTCCTAACGTTTTTGAAAAACTGCCGAGTTTCATTGAAACACTCGCTATCCGGGTTTTTTTCCACACATTCACTTGTTCTGCAAAGAACTGCATATCTACTTCGTCGGTAATTATCGCTTTTATCTGTTAGTCTTACTTTTCATTTTAAGCCTCCAAACGGTCATGCAATGGCTTCATCACTCTAAAAATGGCTCTCAACCTCTCAGAATATTCTTCTGTGACGAATCTCGCCGTTGTTTTTAATAAATTACCATTTTACCATTTATTTTGATGAGTCGGGGCGGTGTCCGGAGGCATGGGATGAGCTCACCTGCAGATTTTTCTACCACTACTTGTTTTCTTCTTGGACGATCCCTATTGGTAGGAAATGCAGCCGGGGGCGTTTCACGCCTCACCTGACTGTTTGCGACGAAATCTACCATTTCAAAGTCCCCACGTGGAGTGTGTCGCTTTCTCATCAATGTAGCGATATCATTCCTCATTTTTTTTCTGTTAGGTCTTACATGGGAGCCTGAATTGGCTAAACCCGCAATGTATGCGGGGTCGGCTAACTGGCACCAGACTTGTCCAGGAAGGGAAAGATTTTGACTGGTACATTGAATGGTTGCCTCAAGCCTCGCATTGGCCCAATCTCATTCCAAATGCCGTTTGTCTCAATATCTGAATGTAATGAGTGGCGCATTCCCAAAAAGGTATTGATCAACGTCACGTCAAGCCTTTTCTATTTTAGTTTTCATCCAAAATGTGAAAGGCAGCTGTTGAATTTTTATAGGAACTAGAAACGGCAGCGGTTGTACAATACCGCTCCTAATTTGTGGTCAATCGACGGTTTGCGACAGATTTTTCCGTCGCAAACCGTCGTTTTGCCATAACTTCTGTAGAAATGGTCCAAATGATCTGAAATTTAGACCATTCGATAGCCCTGTACAAGACGAATCCAATGATGTGGAGCTCCCACTTTCCCTCGATTTTTGACGTTTTTCCAAGGAAATTGAGGTTTGAGTCTCCAGTAACCTAAGGTGTTACCTGCGGACACGGCTGCGTCGTAAACCCTCCAGTCCAATTATGAACTTCAAACCAAGTGCCACAAAGCCATAAATACCAGCATATTCAGAAAGAGCATGATTCCGTGATCATTTTGATACTTTTCATGACAGGGTTTCAGCAAGGTTCAGCTGAAAATCATGGTTCACTGACCACTCTTTCCTTGATTTCCGGTTTGAATCGGCTATATCATGACTTGAGGAACAGTATCTGATTCATAGCCAACGATCCGAAGTGCCAGCCTACAGAAATCGACGAGCTGAGTCTAACAGTATAGGCTTCTATTGAGAAGAGTTATAGCAAAAAAACGCGGATCTGCGTTCTTTCGTTTTTTTTCGAACAATTCCAGGTATTGTACTTCCGGGTATTGTACTTCCAGGCTATTCGTCATATTTTAGGGAGCCAATGTGAACCGTCAAGAATCAGATACTGTTCCTCAAGCCGATTCAAACCGGAAATCAAGGAAAGAGTGGTCAGTGAACCATGATTTTCAGCTGAACCTTGCTGAAACCCTGTCATGAAAAGTATCAAAATGATCACGGAATCATGCTCTTTCTGAATATGCTGGTATTTATGGCTTTGTGGCACTTGGTTTGAAGTTCATAATTGGACTGGAGGGTTTACGACGCAGCCGTGTCTGCAGGTAACACCTTAGGTCACTGGAGACTCAAACGTCAATTTCCTTGGGGGAAAACGTCCAAAAATTGAAGGA